TCTAAGTGTTCAGTTCATAATATGTATGTTAGCTGTAAGATTACTTTTAAATAAATAATTTTCCTCCACCAATTTCGGTCTTGCGTTTCTTTACAGAGTGTGTGTGTCTGTGTATAGTTTTGAGGACGACGAGTCTTTAAATTGTTCAGTCCATCTCGTTGGCGAACCTCCACACGGTCTCTTGCCTTCGGTGTTGCCAATCAAGATGAGCTTCCCTGTATTTTATAAGAAGCTGGGAGCTGGGTAAGGATCGATAGTGCGTTTAGAGGTCCACGGTATTCTTAACATCCGCCTCCAGCACTACATTTCAAAAGCGTCAATCCTTTATCTGTCTCGAGCTAAGATTGTCCACGTTTCTGCTCCATACAGGAAGATAAAAAATCAAGGGCACCGATCATTCTGATTTTGGTCTTGAAACCAATTGCTCTCCTCTTCCATATGTTGCTTAAACGTGTGACGTGCCAGCATCTATAGCCACTCCAAACCTCCATCAATCTCGGGATAGTTCATTCGCAATAGAAGATCGCTAATTAGGTAAAATAGCATTAGCTAAACGTATAATTTGTGTTCATATTCCACAAATTAAGCCCAGGACATAAATTGAATCCTTTTATTTATTTATTTATAAGTTCTAAACGTGTATGCATAAAATTATACAAGAAAATATGACATCACAAATTTTAAACAGATACACATACTCATCAATTATATTAGACATAAGCAAGCTAGCAAGGGAAAAAATTAAACAAGCAACTTAAAATAATATTGAAAACATAAAATGACAACTTAACTTTGGCTTATGTTAGGTCTAAGTTTAATCTAAGCGTTAAACAGCTAAAACTTTCGACCTTTGAAGATTCAGGATTGCGTGTCAAAATGTGTTACAACATTTAGAAAAGTTGTTCGTAAAATTTGTTGGTGACCTTTATTATATGTTCAGTGGTAGTTTTTAGGTATTCCTTTAATAAAACATCAGAGCTTACTAAAGCTCTTAATTTTATTCTAAAACGAATAAATGCAACTTTGTTATTAAAGTGCCTGCATCGATATCATGTTGATAAACGAGCTTTACCCATTAGATTAATGAAAAATCCATCATCACTTAGTAAACAGTATTGAACGTTGACAAACAGAGCGATTGGCTGATTGCTTTTTAAAATAATTGCTAATAATTTCAGAATATCTGTCGTTAATTGTGTATACTCAAAAAAAACGTGTACTGCAATACAATATTCATTCCTATATCCCCTAGGTGGTGGAACAGAGGGTGTTCACAATGCATCGCCATGGCGTTCTTTCTTGAGCCAAACACTTGACTTTAGACCGCGTTAAGCCAATGGCTCGTGTCTAGGCCAAAACTGAGCGTCGTCAGGATTATTTAGCGTTTCCTTTTCCTTAGGGAGTCCTATCTAGTGCCTATTTGGGGATGTCATTGGATTCTGTTGGAGAGTCTGTACGATACATCTCCACTTGCGCGGTAAGATCTGGTAGTCGATTGGTCGATCCCATCGATCCCAGCACAGTTCCTGTTCATTAGAAATATCCTTAGGCCAGAAGATTACCAGGATCCGACTCAGTTTAATAAAGGTCTGGATGCGTTGCGTGGTGGCTTTTGTGGGTTTAAGGCAGCTTTGTGGCAAAACAGTACTATCTACCAGGTGTCAACTTAAATCTTCTGTTCATTTGAACCCCACGGCCCAAGAGTCTCTACTCCAAAGCGAACAAAATCAAAGTTGGAGTTTTTATTAATTTATTAATATTTCAGAAACTTATTCTACCAAGAAATTTTGATGTCGTCATTAAGTATGGAAAAATAAAATAAATGTCACAAAAATATTTAAAATTGATTATAAAGTCTTCTTAATAATAAAGTCAAACTCTTAGTTGGAGGGAGTCATTTACACTTTTAGCGCTGTACAATGCTTATAAAACCTTCAAAAACAACGTTAGCGTGCCTTTAAAGACACCGAGTTCATACTTCATTAGTTTTGAATATGTGGTGTAATAACTTGATGATTAACTTAAATATACACTAGTACTAGAGTCCCTAACAATACTTAATTATCAGTGTAACATAAATAGCGTTGCAGTACAATGATACAGTATTAGGCTAAACTGTACTAAAACTTTATAATAATTAATCGATTAACGACTCGATACAATATTCGATTAATATTCATCGCCCCAAGTAACTTGAGACGTACTCGCAAATCGCTTTACGCTCCCGAATCGAATTATGATGATCTGAAGTCTATTATCATAATACTGATTAAGTATTGAGTGAATTTTGTTCTCAATATCTTACGCTCAATATCAAGATACTTTGAAAATGTCTCATGTCATCTAACACCATACTTAGAGTCGTCTATTAAATTCTAATGTGTGGATTGTTCTTTTATGTAGGCAGACGTTTGCATACAAACCCTCATGGTGTTAAGTGAGATGCCTATAAGAGGTCACGTCTATGTAGCTGCTGCTTGGATACACCCATGTTATACTCTTTAGGGATGATTGAAGGGGGCAAGAGACTCCTTCTTTTTCACGAAACACGACCATCCAAATCGTGTAGTTTGGTACGAATGTCAACAAGGAACGGGTGAAAGCGTGCTTCTCGACAGGCGTAGTTTGCATGAGGACCTCTGAATTCTATAAAAGACTGAAGAAACAACTGAATGGCGACTTCCTAGAGCTCCCAATGTGGAGCTACCACTACGCAGATGACACCGCTCTCTATACCATCCACAAAAACAGAGGTGTGATCGTGGGCAGACCGCAACCACGTCGCTAGGCGAATGAATGATGGAGCTTCCTAATAAGTCCCGAGAAGAGCGTCACAGTTCTCTTTTTCAGGGGCAACCCCGATGCTCTCGGGAAAAATTCCGCTTCATAAAAGGAGGTAACCCTATACGAGCAAGCTATCCCGTGGCAAAAGTCCGTCAAATATCTAGGAATAACGCTCGATAGCGGTATGTACTTCCCTAAGCACATAGCAGTAATTTAATATAGAAATAATGCAGGTTATAAAAATCTAGCATATACAATGGTCACAGAAACAAAAACTTCATATTTTAATTTTTATTGTGAAGAGCCTCTATTATATGTATGACAACTCATAAGTTTGGTGTGACGTCTTGCTTTAACGGTTCTGCACAGATTATTCCATAGTTCCATGAGGCAAACATATTTCTGCATCTCAATCACTTATTATAAATATTTTCTCTTGTTTTTTGTCATTTGTTTACTTTCAAAGTAACATAGACGTGCTAAAGCAAGAGCTATTTGGACTTATGCCTTATTTGGACGTATGACTACTGTGTGTAAAAAATACGTTTTTTTACACTGTAGTTATGCATATATACAGCGGTTAGTTTTTGTGTGACGATCAATCATATAATTTTTTACATGAAACAAATTGTTTATGTATTAAATCAAATATAACTGAATTCATAATGTATTTCTTAATACATAACGAATAATATAAACTTTTTAATGTCATTCTTTATATATTTAATAAAATTAAACAACATTATTGTTATATAATTATTTATTGAAGTGTTAACTTGTAATATGACACATGATTGCACGAATTCTTTGGATTTGTTTACATTATATACATTTAACTTATACTAACTTAAATATAACAATTGTACTAATATAACTTGTAACAATTACTTAACTAGTATCTGCCGTAATTTGTACAAGAGGAAAATATTTTAACATATTTTATTAAAAGTAACGAGTTTTATACAGGAATTAAAAATTATTTATATTATAAGATATATAATAAATAGTTTACTGTAAATATGTGTTTCGTATAGTTTTCGGTTTCCGTAAACTGCTTTGGTATAATGGGATCGAATATTTTGCTTGTGTGTTCACACAAATTTTAGTAACGATAACTTACACGTTATATGATCAATGTTATGATTTGAATTTTACCAATTCATTGTTATTCATTTGGAATGGTATGTTTTATATGGAACCAGCAAGGGGCTTTTACACATAGTTTTTTTGACGCTAATATCTGCGTAAAATATGAATAATTGTCTAATTAATAATATTTTACGCCTACGTTAGAACTAAGTTGTTCGTCAAACTCGTGGTATGCGAACTACTGGGCGTCGGAAAGCTTTGGCGTTTTTAAAATTACTTTGGTATATTATAAACATTATACATCTTTTTACAATCGTTCCTATATTAACGTATACCGTAGTCTTATTATTTACAAAAATATAACAAGCGTGAATACATTTATATGTAACAATCAAAATAAACAATGTTCAATATTTTTGGATTATCTTTGGTATAAAATAATAGTCTTACATATCTCGTATTATGGAATGGAAAGTATGGATTTTGGAATGGCTAGGCCTATACATCATATAATTGAAATAGAGATATCTAAAGATTATATTGGAATTATAAAAGGAATGCTACAATTGTCTTATAAACCCTCTTATTCGTAAAATCAGAATGAAAGTACTTTTTGTCTATTTCTGACAAATTGTGTTTCCGCTGTGATAAAAAGAGACTTAGTTAAAACTAGATTTTTTAATAAATACTGAGATCAAAAACATTTTTACAATAAGCTTATTACAGAGCTAACAGCTCACTGGTAAATTATATGTTTTCCGAAGTTTCAGTATATATATTCTTTGCAGTTAATTAATCTCAAATAATTTATGTACAGCCGTCTTACTACGTAATTTCAGCGATGTAAATATTTAGTTTTGATACCCGGTTATCAGGTGGATATTGAAGGAAAAGATGTCAAAGATGTGTAAAACAATAATTTAAATCGCTTTTAAAATTACGAGATAAAAACTGTATTCCAATTACCATCCGTCATAAATCCGTCAAACTTATCGTAAAAGCTCATACAATGAATCTAATTGTTAACATTACCCATTATCTTTAGAAAGCATCACTACTGAGTTAAATCACAAATTGTCTTTCTATACCTATCAGCCTTGGCGCCACGGCGCGAAGGCTGTTGAGCTTCAAGAAGGAAGAGGCTGTAGAGGCGGTACAGAGGTACTGAGAGCGCGGTAGTCGGGACGAATGTGCTCTGGGTGAGTGGTGCGAAGATCTGTGATCAAAATGTTTAGTTATTAAAAGTATTTTTTGAGGTCTTTACATATGAAATTGGAGTTTTGTATGGGAGGAAAAAAAAGTAGATTTCAAATAGAATATATTTATTTAATCAAAGTATGTAGGTACCATAGCTATCTATGCAATTTTTCCATCTTATAGGTAGTTCATTGAACCCTTCACTAAAAAAAGTATTCGGACGGAAATTAATAAAATCTTTGAAAAAAATTGAATTTGGAATTCCTAACCAAAGAGAAGATATTTGAAGTCTAAGTGGCCAGTACGACAAAACGTTAATTTCATATGTAAGGACCTATATCCCCAAATCTTTGACAAGTGTTTGGTAAAAGTTTTATTTAGCTTATTAACGAAGGAGATGACATCTTCAGAATAAGATGGTAAGATAAAAGTCGCTTTTTTAGAAAAGTGATAACATTTGAATGAAAGAAAAAAAATTTATAGAGCAAACATATAAAATTACGTTGTAGGTATTATTCTTGGCACATGACTTAATACTTAACAGTTTTACTGTAGCTTTTATAAAACAATTTTTTATTTATACTAGACTTAAAGTTTATATACGAAACGAGTATTAAAATAAGCATCAATTTGCTTTCAACTTTAAAATAATACCCCTAATGTAGTCGGAATATAGGTTCAAAGATCTACTCAATAAAACAAGCTGCCGTCTCTGAAAGGTCAAAGGGTCGATTAAAGCTTTCATTTCGATGGGCGAGTTTCAAGAATGAAGCTGTAATTTCTTAAACAATTGCTTCGTTAAATATAAAAGAAATCTTAGTTATCTTACCTATCCTATGATCCGAGACATGCATATCCGGGTGCATGGCATGGACATCAGTATGTGATGGCATATGCTGAGCGTTGCGCAGATCCGCATGCTGTGTTTCCCTGTGTCTTCGTAAATCTACCTTGCGTTGAAAGGCTCTGCCGCAGAGTTCACAGGCAAAAGGTTTAAAACCGGTATGCTTCCGCGAATGAGTGATTAGGTTCGAAGATTGACTAAAGGCTTTGCCGCATACTTGACACTTGTGAGGTTTTTCACCTGAGAACAAACGCATATTATTAGTTTATGCTTCGCGTTTAATATACCTATAATAACTATTTTATTTTAGTTCACTGGATTGAACCGGAGACGTCTTATGCTAAAGAAGCAAGTAACTTAATTATGAGTCTATAATTATAATCGGAATCACGATGGCTTTCCAATAGAATGATCCGGATAACCGTGCTTCAGATATCCGGGTATCGATCGCTGTCCGGATGTGGGTGGAGGGTGCAGGGTTGTCAAATGCATAAATATTTTTCAATTCAAATAAAAGATCATTTTATATATTATTAGGTATTGTGATCTTGTGAACACACAAATACGCCAATATTAAGATAATAACATATTGCCAATTAAACTTGATAACCTCGGACAGCTATCGGGAGGTTATCATTAAAACGCGCACACCATTTTAAATTTTAACGCCTGATTATTTTAATTATGCAAAGTGCTATTACTCACATCTCCAAATTATAAAACTGAAAAAGGCAATAAATTTTGTCAAGAAAGCCTATTCATAAGTTTTAATACGTTTCAATACGTTCCTAAAATAGCATTATTTTATCACTTTAAGCAACAACTAGAAAACAATATCACAAATTTCTAATATAAACAATAGAATATCCTCTATTAAGAATACTGGTTAACATTACGACTTGAAAAATCGATAATAATTAATAACGTTGTATTCAAAACAATTTATAGGTTACTTCTCACTTCACTTCACTTTATTTATAATGGCGACATCTGTGTAAATCACAATTCCGTCAATGTCACGTTCTAAGTCTTCACACGGTGAGGATAGATTTGATAATTTTGGTAGATTGAATTTAATCTAAGCATAGTTACCCAAAACAAAAATGACGTCACAATAAAGACAACACACACAGACATCTAATAATATATACAAGAGGTTAACATTTTACTACTTATGTAGGGACTAGGTGGTTACTTCTCAAGATCCCACCAAAAGTTTGACGTTAACATTGACGTTTGACACATGACTTAAAGTATCCATAGATAATTAATAATATGAATAGTCAGAATAAAATATTGCAAGGAACAACCCTAAACATATGAACGTCCAAACACGTCGTATTAATACACGTACCGTAATCTGTGCCAAGTCGGGGCCGCATTACGGATGCGTGGAAGAAGCGTCCGGACAATATATTGCCAGGATATATACTCGGTTATAACCGTTTGTACCCGGCTATTAGGAGTTTATGTATCGTGATTGAAGTGTGGAATTTAATAACCTCTGGACTTCTTTGATGAGTTCGCTGACATTAGTAGGGCTCTTAAGGAATTTAACTGTTTTATCGAGCCACAGGATAAATGCTTTTTTATTATAGGTTTTAATAGCTGATGCTTGAATATATATTTCTAAGGGTGGATATTTGTATTTTTTTATGAAGATATAATAATTTAATATTATAATAACATTATAAAAATCACAATGACCAGCTTCGTTCTTTTTCTTTACGCTTAGATTGTCTCGCTACACCAATCGGTCGCCACCGCAGTATCACTAACAAATCACAGCATCGTACCGATACCTAACAATTAGGTATATTTCGAAAAAGGGCCGCGAATGCCTTCAATCAAGGGGTCCGACTTCATTAGAGCGACAGAGACGCGGACCTCTCTTTTACGCGGGACCAATTTATATCTGTCGTGCTATTGGCCGTGATTGCGGGACTCCACCCAGCGTCGCATAGCAACGGGAGGGGGTTCCCCCTCCTCCCCGTTATGGATCGCAATTTTCCTTTGAATTGGAAATCAGAGTTCGCGTCCCTCGTTAGTCCTCCATCTTCGATAGCAGATTTGTGAAGATGTTCCTTTGTGCGATATTGATGTTTTTTATGTATCGTGTGTTGAATTTTAACGTATCGTATTTGTTTGACTTGAATTTATATTGCTTTTATTTTATTTCTGCTTTAGTAGTGTTAACATTTTTCTACTATTTGCGTAAGCTGCACAATAGTGTATGGCAAGACCCATTTCTATGTCTGCCACATTATTTGATCAGCGTTTTAAGTCCACAAACCCAATACAATTATAATTTTAAAGGTAATTAATACAGAATCTCCGAACGGGCGAGGCAATTATCAATTAAAACTTATATGAACAAATGAATTCTGTATCAATCTTATGTATTAGTATATACTTTAAAAAAAAGTCGTGTGTTAACTATGCACTGCCGAAGACAAAGGCAAAAAAATGATAAAATTTTAACTCGGAACCTTGTACAATGTCTCCTAAGTACAACAAAAGGCATAAAGCCGAGCCAAGACAGGAATTACACAAAATTACGTACCAAAAGTCCAAGTGCGTAAAATCTTCTCAACTCAACGGCGTAATTACGGCCTATATAAGTGGGATGGGGGTTTGGGGTGCCTTAATTGTTCTTAAGACTCCCCCGGGATGGAGAAGGATCGACAATTCATTGAGTTCTCAGTGTTGAAAGATATACTGGCTGGATTTTGTACGCGCGCCTTATTTCTTCTTAAGGAAAACCAGGTTTGTCATATTAGAAGGCTTTAGTGGGTTTGTTATGTTCAAATTTTCATTGTTTTGTCCTTGTCACTCTCGTATCACTTTGAACGTAAATAAACACGACAAAACATTCATATAGGTACTAGGTACATATAAGGCTAATAGGACGTTTACGAGTGACAGTTGATAACATATCCACACTTTGTAATCAAATTACTTATTTTTGGGTGTTTTAAGAATTCAAATAATTTTATAATTTGTATTACCACGTTTATGTATTTTATGTTTCATGGCAAAATATCTCTATTTTTCCGAAAATCAGCAATATTATTTTTACAAATTAAATGCCTACAAATCGCTTATTTTCCTATAACAGCTAGTTCGGAATATCCTTAGCGGAGCTTTCATTTAATAAAATATCTATCTCTTTAGCGTGTCACGTAAAAAATCACGTGGCATCAGCGATTCACGCTCGTTACGTTTCTAGTACGTCGTTCTGTTTCTATAGCTGTGTAAAGTTTTAACGCGTTGAGATTTTTTACTATACAGCGTAGTTGGTACGTATTTTATGGACATAGCCATTGACAATAGCTTCACACTCTTTATGGAAATTTCAACAAGTGCTTAGTGAATTTTTATGATAAATGTCTAATGCAATTCAATTACCCAAATTTAAATTTCGATTCTCTGTGGTTTAGTCTCTTGATAGAACATCTTTAGAGGAAAGTAGAGACTCAGAAGTTTAAACATTGGTTATTACGCTACGAAAACGGATACTAAAATCTAAAAAATGCAGTATTCTGATTATATTACTACAAAATTCGGCAATAAGGAATAAAGCATTTATATTAATTAAACCATAAATATATTTGTTAGAACTGAAAGTAATAATTGTTTCGTATTTTAATGAAATCCGTAAAAATTCTGTTCGGTTCCAAATTAAGTCATATATCTGGTATGTTAATGATCCGGAGGCGCTACAACCCCATATGGGTAAGATTGCATTTGTTTTTTTATACACAGTGACTGACACATATTTTTAGATCAAAGATTGTTGTTAATCGATATTTACTATTGAGCAAGAGAGCATTGAATTGAAAAAATCATTGCGTTGAGTTGAGGTTAAAGCCCTAGCCAACTCATACCTGGTAGAGATGTTATATCAAACTCTATATCTATATATGTGCAAGCAAAATACGCGTTGTGAATATTGAGCTAGACTAGAGTGGGGCGTTAAGCATCAAGATCCCTGAGATTGAAGGTATCCCGGTGAGCGATAACCGTAAATCCCGAACTACCTCTAGAAAATACAGATATGCATTGATAAAGGATTTTAAGGTTATAAAATCAAGGAACACATTTCACAGCATGATAAAAAAATATAACAGATTACAAGATTCTAACTATTTTATAAAAAGTATAAAAGATAGATATGTAATTGGAATTTATACTTTAATTGTAAATTTTTTATGTAACGGGGCAAACGGGCAGGAGGCTCATCTGATGTTAAGTGATACCGCCGCCCATAGACACTTACATTGCCAGAGGGCTCGCAAAGGTCGGCGCCTTGTAAGAATTGGTACGTTTTGGACATAAATTGGTGGGTAGCTGTTTCCACATATTGGTGGTGCGTGGCAAAACTGCCTTAAAAAACGCTCAGTTGTGGAACGATAGACCTCGAGATGAAACGGGTAGAATTTCCGACCGATGATGAAACTGGATACTAGCTGCAGGTATTAGTCCGAACAAATCCACTCCATTTTTTACGATTTTCAACGTGAAAATTTATTTATGATACATTGATAAACGACCCAAATCACAAACAAGATGATAAAGGAAATTATAACGAATCTGTTAGAAACAGACGTCGAATTAACGGAGAAAATCATTACGGGCCATTATCGAGGCACTAAACGCGAGATTCGCAATAAAACAGACATTAATATAATTAAATTATAGAATCCGGCCCTGGCTGGCTCATCTGCACAGTATCAGAGCGGGATTTTTATGGCGACGTACTTTAGCGAGCTCTGAATTAAATATATGATGCTCACAGCTTAAAGTGCTTCCTGCAAGATTTTAAGAAATATTCTGCCGATTTATTATTAAAGCGATGTTTATTTCGTAAATCACTTTAGTTCCTTAGTATTTATTTTATATTGTTCTAAGTAGAATGTTTCAAAAAAGTTTTTCATAAATAATATTTAGTTTGCTATGTCACGGTAAATTTACAGTAATAGTTATGGAGACAATATTAATATTTTCCTTAAAATAATTTAAAAAGCTTCTTTAATTGCATACTTTTGTTTTATTCCTTCTATTGCCTCTACTGCCACTTGTTTATATACACTTTAAATAATATTGTAATATTTTCCTTTGTAGTATTATTGTCGTCTCATCATTTAATAGTTTTGTTATTATTCTTCATATTCCTTCCTCTATTTAATATATGTTTATTCTGTGTGTATAGGATTAAAAATATACTTAATAATACTGTGAACCGTATCTCACGTA